CAGAACTGTGGTACAGGCCAGAACTGTGGTACACGCCAGAGGTGTGGGGGCGGTGAGAGGCTTCACCCGGGACAGAGTGGGGAGCAGAACAGGCCGACTGACAAAGTACACTGCTGAGGGGAGTAGCGGGCGGGTCAGAAGAGGTCTGCTGCGCCATGTGGGTCACCTCTGGGGTGGGGATTGAACTCGTGCTGAAGTGGCTTTAGCTTCTCAGTGCTGTGCTTTAACCAAACACTGTGCCACCAGGGAGGGCCCCTGAATCCTTAACACATTTTAAAATTAGTAGAGAAATTATATACACAAGTCTTCTGATGTCAAATGCTGCATTTCATTGGTTTTGAAGCACTTAAAGAACATTTAAAAAAGATCTCTAAAACCAGTATGGATCCTATATGGTAGTTTGGGCTTCCTACTGCTTTAGGTGATATTGGAGCTTTTTGCTCAGAGCACACAGTGTGTCTTACCTTGAACTTCACCGTCCTGTCTCTCTCTTTCCTTGGGTTACTGAGCTGCTGCTACATTCAATGAGGGAGCAAAGCTAACTTCTTCAACAGCGTATGCTACAGCAACGTTCGCATGTTGTTTTGTTCTTTGATGACTCATAGGTAACTGTGATGGGAGATAAGTGTCCTCCTGAGTCATCTTGTGTCCCCATGGGCCTAAGTGGGAAGTGACCAGTCAGAGGTTAATTGCCGAGCTGGGGACCCAAGCCAGAAGCCATCTCTGGCATATAGTTAGAAAGATTTTCATGGTGTTTGCAGTGGAGACTGCTCTCTTTCTAGACTAAACACCTCTCCTGGTGACAGCCTTCTCCCCAAGCCCCCTGGCTCGTTAGGGTGGCCCATTTCTGCATTTTGACATCCTGTTTCATTGGACACATGTCCTCAAAATAACTGTCATTGACGTATTATAACTTCAGCTAGTTCCAGCTCCCTTCTTGTTCCCCTTTCTCCCTCCACTTCCCCACCCTTTGTATTTTGTTTTGTGAATCTGACCCATATGCCAAACCTCAGCCTCTGCTTCTACTTTCCAGGCAAACTGCTGGCTGACCCTGGCCATCTTTTCTTTTCTTTTTTTTAAATAAAAAGATTTATTTATTTATGCATACAAGAACTGGGGTACAGGCCAGAGGTGTGGGGGGTGAGAGACTTTACCAGAGGTAGAATGGGGAGCAGAACAGGTGATCTACTGAAACACTGCTGAGGGGAGTGGCAGGCAGGACAGGAGAGGTCTGCTACGCCATGTGGGTCAGCTTCATGGCGGGGGACGAACTCGTACTGCAGTGGCTGTGGAGAACTTCACAGTGCTGCGCTTTAAGCTGTTGCACCACCAGGGAGGGCCCTGGGCCCTCTTTTCTAATTGGACTTCTCTTGGCCATCTCTCCTGGGGGCACTAATATTCCTAACTCCACTGAGAAACCAAAACAGACAATTGATCATTTTGCACTAGCTTGGTGTTTCTGACTCTGTGCTCCCATCCTCCCCCGACTTGGCAACTCAGTGGTAGAGTGTCCTGTTCACTTGTTCACTTTGGGAGAAAAAAAATGTTAAACACTCATTCCTTCAACAGCTGGGAGCTCAGGATAAAACCAACAACTACATCAGCATAGCAAACCACAGCAGCAGAACCATAGGCTTTGATTAAGTGCTCTCTGTGTTCCTGCTGTAGGACTTAAATTTGACAGGGACTCTTAGTTCATTCGAGCCTTACAACCACCCAGTGAGGACCAGGACCAGTCCCCTTGTTTCCTAGCTCTGGTCGTGCTGTCAGAAGAAAGGGGTGCAAGGTGTTGTTTGTTCTTTTCAATGCCAACGTTCTGATGAAGGTCCCCACTGCTCCAGCAGGGCTGAGGCTGAGCAAGAGCATAGGTCTTATGAATGGCAACACAGGCCCCAACGCCTTCCACATGTTCAGGAGGGAGGGGGGCCTGGGAGCAGCAGTCATTGAATCAGCGTGTCCCAGCGCGAGACTCCCATGAGTCAGTCACTCTCAGCCCCTGCATTCCAGGGAATTGGCCCTTGGTGGCAGGTCTTGGTGGGGGTGATCAGGGAGACCACTAGTTCTCACGAAATCAACCTGTGATTCATTAAGAATGGGTAAGGGGAACTGGGTAACCATGACCCCCCACCCCCCCGGCCTGATTTCCTAAAGAACAAGTCCCAGCATTGCCTCACTCTCTGGGGTCCGGGACCTCCTGGCCCAGGGACCTGCTGTTACTAATTTCCCATCTGGCAAGGCATGCTGTTGTGGCTACACGTCAAGGACTCATGGGGAAATGCTAATTTGTGCATGAATGGATGGCTAAGTGGACAGACTGGGAAAAGTTTCCCAAAGCAGCTTGGCTGTGCCCACACCTCCCACGGTCCTCTTCTCTCTCGAGTCTCCTCTTGGCTCTCCTTTCCCTAGTAAACATGGATGGCATTTATATCCAGAACTCCACCCCCTCACCATGCCAGTTCCCATGGAAACTTCAAAGAGGGATGCTGACACCTAAAATAACCCGGCTCTGCTCCTCTCAGAACTCTCAGGAAGACAGTAAAGGGCTGTGTTCACATCTGGCTGGGAAGAAAGAACAACTGTGAGGTGTAGGAGGTGGCCGGGCTGCCCCCGCAGAGAGAGGCCTCCTGGTGACACTGCTCATTCTGGGTTCTGAAGCGGCAGCCAAGCTCTCTTCTTTCTTTACAGATGGTGGTGGGCTGAGGGCTGCCCAGCCCAGTGGTGAGGTGACCACTGCCGTCACCCCCACCTCACAGCCCTGCAACTCCCAGATCCTCAGATAATGCTGAGGCTGCTCTTTGGTCAGAGGCTGGAGCCCCAAATCCCTGCTCATGGACTTGTAGTGACCCCATGTGTAGGACTGGGGAGGCCTTGGAAGTTAGACAGATTCCAGACTGGGACTTCCAGGAGCTGCTTGGAAGATGCCATGTTTTACCCACTGCTTTCAGGGGAAGATGAAAGTTCAAGTTGTCTGAGGAAGTTTCAACATTTACATATTTTGTATTGTAACTCTGTATATCACTTCAGTTGCTTGAAATGAGGAAACAAAATTGACAGAGTCCAAACATTTCACTTTGCTCCAATAGGCATTTATGGAGGGTCTCCTTGGAGCCAGGACTGGGCTGGTGTGGACTGGACAGGGCAGTTCAGGCCTCCAGGGGCTTAAAATCTATTGGGGGCCAGTGTTACAGAAAAATAATTATGGTGTGTTAGGATTATTAGAGTTGAAGAAATTGAGACTGAGAAGAATTAAATGACTCCCCCAGGCCACATTCTTAGTGGGTGACTCAGTGAGCCCCACAAACTACTGATTGTGAGTCCCCTCTGGCCCCCTTGTGAGGCCTTCAGCACTTTCTGTTAAAGTGTAATTTTCAAAGAATTGTAAGTATGAATCCCATGCAAATATAAAATCAACAGATAGCAAAGATTTTATTCAGCTTAACTAATGAGGGGGCTGATACTAAGTATGATTAGTTCAACAGAGAATTTGAGGAAGGACATGTAGAGGAACGCTGAAATCTGTTATCTAATAGATTAAACATTGGTTAATGTTCTACCAGCAATAAACCCTCACCTCCATGGGTACCTTTACCACCAGGCAGAAACCGTTTATAATGGTATTGAGTCAGAATCAGCTACATTGTCATTTTCATAGTTAGTGGTTTTCTACAAGTGACCTCTAATAAATTGGTAAAATATTCTCATTGGTAGAAGTCAAACAAAGGTACACATCCTTAGAAAAGCAGATAATCCCCAAAGATGGCAGTTTAACACCCTGTATTGCACTGAAAGGACACTTCCTCCCGCTGTTGGTTTCTAAATTCTGGATAAATTTCTTAACATTACTCTGTGTGTGTGTGTGTTTTTACATACACATTTTCTGGGTATGTTTTTGTCCAGAAGTGGAAGGGCGTTCAGTCCTATGGCAATAAAGTGGACAGACATTCAGCTCCATGAGAGTTCTGGGGGTCTCCCCAGTTGTCTGGGTGATTTCTTCAAAAATCAGCTGGGGGAAAAGGTGTCACTTGATAAAGAAACTGTAGGTGGCTGCCACAGGGTACACAGAGTGGCCTCATCCTTCTCCTCCTGCTGGCAGATGCCCTGGGGGCACCACAGGGTGGGGGGTTTGCCTGACAGAGGCCAGGAGGCTGGGGGAGGGGAGCAGGATTGATGGTGGCCCCTGTCTGAGCAAACGCCTGGCGTTCTGAGGCTATTTTGATGTCTGGTTGTTTCTACTTCTGCAAATCCCGTTTTGCCTCCCACAGCCCCTTCTCTGTTCTCTGACAGCATGAAGACTGCCCTTATTTGAATGGCATTTTGTAGTATCCCAAATGCTTCTCCTTAGCCTCACTGAATTCTTGCACCAATCCTGTAGGATAGATAATTTCAGACATGAATCGAGCTGTCCAAGGTCATGACCAGACTGGTAAGACGAGGATTTAGAATTCAAATCCAGGCCTTTGAACTCCATAATTCCATGTCCTTCCAGCTCAATCAGCCCACTTCTCCCCAAAACGTTCTGTGCTTGGTCCCAGGATGTGCATATCAGGGAGCCAGAGATGACATTAGAGCACTTGCTTTCCCAGCAGACCTGTGGGACCCTGCTGGGGAGTCCCCCCACCCCAGTGTCTGGGCCTTGGACTCTCCGTGTAGTGGGGCAGGGGCGCATCACCCTTACACTGGGCCACAGCCTTCTGTTCAAATACTGTAGGTGTCAAATCACGTTGATTCCAGCCTGGCACCAGTTATCCCCTGACACTGGGGCCACAGCTCAGCTGTGCCCACCAGTTACCACCACTGTGGCCTCGTCAATTCAGGGCTCTGATGGGTTTCTCCAGGTTCCCCCATTCTCTGTCTTCCTTAGCAGACAAACAGCTGGTGTTTGGTAAATGTCTAAGATACGGGCAAGAAGCAACCTGGACATTTGGGGACATCGGGAAGGATGGGGCAGCCATTGCTCCTTTGAGCCGAACCAGGCGCTCATAGCTTTGTCTCTCTGTTGCAGGGCCCAACATCTGTACCACACGAGGCGTGAACTCCTGCCAGCAATGTCTGGCTGTGAGTCCCATGTGTGCCTGGTGCTCGGACGAGGTAAGGAGCAGGCACCTGGCCTCACTTCTTTCCCACACTGCCTTGTACCAACCGCGAGGTCTCACCTCCCTCTAAGGTATACAAGCTCCTTGTCTCTTCCAAGCAAATCTAGGTGAAGCCTTTCCTTTGATGGATGTTGAAGTGAGCTGTCTTGGGGGGTGTGGCTGGGATCGCCTCCCTGGCCACATGGCCTTGGTGTTGGCCTATTTGATGGGGTTTTCTGGCCTCACCATAGTCACTGTAACCCCTTGAAACACTTTGTTTACCCCTTGCTGTGATGGGCACCCCAGGCAAGCAGGGCTTCGTTGTCTCAACAGACAGCAGAGGCAAGTGAGGGCAATAGGGACAGAAAAGTTGCTGCTTGCAAACATCCAGCAGTTTAAAGAGGCAAATAAAAGAGAAACCTTGCATTTGTGGGGGTGGAGGGGGGAGTGCTTACATAGTGGATCTCTCTCCCCTATCCTCTCTGATAATGGGGATTCCTAGGTGTCAATGAGGAAAGGAGCTGGACCAATTTGTCAGGGGTAGAGGGGAGACAGGAAAGAGTTAGCTGTGTCTAGGCAGAGCGTTTGTTGTGTCTGGGGCCCTGGGGAATGAGTGTGTCTGAGGGAATGACTATTTGTGGCTGGGATGGGAATTTGGTGCTGGCAGGAGCTGGGGTGTGTACATATGGGGTGAGGGGTGACGGTGGCTGGATAGATTCCAGAGATTTCCGTGTGAAGCTGAGTCACTGGCTTACCTCTCCATCCTCCCGACAGGTGGTTACCTGGCTGGCTGCTCTCAGTTACCTGAGGGGCCCTGTGTCACCACAGTTGTCCCTGCCCTCTGTGGTCTTCCAACCGCCTAACCCAGCCCTCCTTCCCTCTGTCTGCTTTTCTTCCCAATCTGCTGAGTTTCCTAAAAAGGCAGCCTCTCAGGCAGGCGGGCTGGGGGTGGGGGAGTGTGAGCCACGAGGCTGTGTCTATCCCCCCAAGGAGGATTGCCACGACACACTGCCTTGGCCTCTGTGCAGTTCCGCACGGGAACTGCTTCCAGACGCAGCTGCCCAACATCTGGGCCACATTGACTTCATTTAGCAAATGAAACATCCCCTGGGGCAGGGAGGGGGTGGGGCCCTCCCCCCCACCCCCTCAGGTTCTCCACCCCTGTGGGCGGAGCTGACTGCTCAAGCAGAGCGTGAGGCGGCCCCTCCCTTCTCTGTGGCCATAGCCTGCCTCCCTTGGTTCCATCATGGTGTTATTAAGCTGCTTTGACAAGGTAGTTGGGATTCAGTAACGAGTCCTGGAAGGAGGGAGAGCTGATTGGGGAGGGTGCCTCACTGGCGTGGGTGACCCTAGCTGCTGGGGAGACACGGAGCCAGGGGAGAAACCCTAGTGTCAGCTGAATGCTACTCTCCCTCCTTCCCTCCTCATCAGCCCAAAGCAAGAGAGGTGAAGGCAACTGTGGCCCAGAGGCGGATCAAAGAAAACAGTCTTGGGGCAGCACAGGACGAGTCATGTGGCCGCGGAATGCTGGGACTTGGTCAAAGCGCTTAGGCTGCTGACCCATGTTTAGATGCAAGTATAGGATATTTATCAATGACTGTGGCCAACCCCGTCTGCTGGGGTAGACTGGGGAGGGCAGGGGTGCAAGGCCCAGGGTAGGATCAAGATGAGGCGGGACCAGCCAAGGAGTGGGGAGTCAGAGAGGAAGCAGGTCCAGCTAGGACCAAAGAAAACTGAGGAGGGGAGGTAGGAGGTCCAAGATGATGTTCTCTAGAAGAATGGTCAGGGGGAGAGTGAATGACTACAACTGTCTCTGTGCAAGAGGGAGAGGGGGAAGAGGCACAGTGGAGGAGCCCAGGAGAGCCAAGTGTGACCCCCATTGCTGTCCCTACCCTGAGAAGTGGGTAGTGGGAATCCCAGGCTGTTTTTTTCCCTGAGGACTTTCCCTGCACAGGCTGAGTTTAACTGCTGAAATGCCTTGGCCGTTGACTTAAAAACCCAAAACTGTACCATCTGGGCCATTTTGTATGTGATCTGCTGCCTAATCCGCCCGAGAGCCCTCTGCTCCTGGCCTGGCCTCCAGCTGCAGGCCGGGTTGGCAGTGCCTGGAAAAACAACTGGTTGGGCTCCGCTTTCCCTTGGTCCTAGAGGACGGCTGGGTGTGGAGAGCGAGCGCTTGGCTGGGCAGCAGGAAAGCTGGCCCATCTGGTAGGGTGTGTTCTCGCAGGGTGGGGGCTTCCGATGCTGACACGGGCCATGAATCTAGCACAGAGGCTGACCCCACACAGAGACTCAACTTGTGGCCTTGGTCTCAGTGGTACCATGTAGAAATCTAGAACATTCCAAACTTGCCTGGTGGCAAGAATCATCTCGGGTGCTAATTAAATATAAAAATTTCCCAGCATGGACCCAGGACCTATTGCATGGCGATGCGTGGTTATGATAGCAGTTTTGGCAAACTGAGGCAGCTGATCGCCAGGTGGGTGGAAGTGCTGGTGGTGTTGCCGATGTGATACAGGACACCCAGTTCAGCAGGAATCGAACAACCAATAACTCTTTAGTATAAGTAAGTCCTCCAAATTTGGCAACTCCAAGGTGGAGGGAAGTACTAGGGGTTTTCCTGTTGTCCAGGATGTACATCAGACTCGGCCTGACAGTCAATGAAAGCGCAGGCTTGGGTTCTGGAACGCAGAAAATCCCAGTAGGACTTCCTTTCCATGTTCTCTGCATCTACAGAAGAAAATCTAGGCCACGCTGTAATAACTTTCCAAACATAATTTTATTTTATTCTTACTTTACTATTGCTTGGTCTTTCTACTTTTTTTTTTTTTTTTTGGAGGATAAATGTTCAGCTTGAGAGTTTTGTTCCAATTTGTTATTGTGCAAGTGTAATATTAAAAGTGCTCCTTCCGCTCCAACCACTGGGGTGTGAACACCAATAGCTATAAACAAAAATACTTTCCCTTTCTCTCTTCCTGTCTGTCCCCTTCACATTACTTCTCACTGCACATTCAGATGATTTCGTGTGTTCCCCAGATGTCAGTCAAAAGAACAATGTTAATTTATTTGACATGGAGTGTTTGATAACAAGCTGCAGAAAAGACCAAGTCTCAGGCCATCTCGGCTTTTGTCCTGCCAGAAGGTTGTGCAATAGTAATAGTAGCTCTCATGGCAGTAGTAGAAAAGAGTCACTTCTATTTGCATTTATGTGTTTAAATACACCAAGGTGAATAGATTTGATTTAGACTGATATGTATAGACTTCCACCTTTCTCTCTCCAGATAGTTTTATATTTTGAAAACATATCCACTCACAATTTTCTTTTATCTCCTTATCAACCCTGTGAGATAGGAAGGATAATAATAGTTATTCACCCTGTACTTGCCCAATTTCCAAAATGGGACTCATGGAAAATTCGACTAACAGCCTGTGTATCTCTCCCAGGAAAGGGAGGGAATTCAGCTCTCCAGCATGTGGGCTGGGCCTTCCCACCTCGGGGCTTGTCATCTTCCCTTGGGTCTTGGGTATTTTTGCCCTTTTTGTGTAATATCCGGCCTCACTGGAAGCTGGGACTTTAATATTCCTCTCCCTTCCTTCCCATTTTTAAGGAACCTGAGACAGTCCTTCTCCCTTCGCAGCCTATGTTGTCAGGAGTGGGAAGGCTGCCCGAGTGTGTTGAGGTCATTCGGGTTCTGGGACAAGAGGCTCTCAGGGAGAGCTTGGCTGGGAGCTGGCCTGCTGTGTTCTGACCTCTCCCGTCACTGACCCTAGGGGGGTGGGAGGGAGACAGCTTTGTTTCTTAATAGTTACATTTCTTTTCTTTATAAAGATTTTGTTTATTTGTGCATACAGAAATAAGGTACAGGCCAGAGGTGCAGGAGGTGAGAGGGTTCACCAGAGACAGAGTGGGGAGCAGAACAGGCGGGTGGACTTGAAATACACTGCTGAGGGGAGCAGCGGGGAGACAGGAGAGGTCTGCTGCGCCATGTGGGTCACCTCCCAGGCGGATGGAACTTGCACAGAAGTGGCCACAGCTTGGCTTCGCTTTGCAGTGCAGCGCTCTAACCGCTCCAGCCCGCTACTCCACCAGGGAGGGTCCCAGCATTTACATGTCTGAAGAGAGTCAGAGGAGCCTTTAGGATCGTGGCCCCACTTTCAAACCTCCTAAAGAACTGTTGTGTTAGCAAACGGGGACTAGGCGTCCCCCCCGCCCCCCGCCACTCCTGACCAAAGCAATCTCTGCCTTGTGGGTGCAGTCCCTTTGGGACTTGTTGTCATTCATTTTCTGGGCCTTCCACTCACCTCCCTCCTTCTCCTTCAACATTTGTCTTAGCTCTGGGAGATCAGTTTCTCAGTGTATCTCACTGTGTCCAATCATTGCCTTTTTGGGAAGGTTTTCTCCCTGGGGCTTTGTGGGCATCTGAAATCAGAGATAATGGGGGCAGTTTTTGAGCAAGAAAGATGATGCTTCCCAAGGCAAGGGGTGGGGAGAGGGGCAGGGGCTGTAAGGAGAGTTTGGGTGCAAAATCCCAAGTGCTGAGTCCTCCCCTCTGCTATTCTGGGGCGGGAGGGGGGCTCATTTTTTTCAGAGACTTGTAAGACCCTGGATGTCCTTGCTGGAATCTTTTGAGCCAGGAAGGCTTAGTCTTTTATTTATTTATTTATTCATTCATTCATTTCTGCATACAGAACTGGGGTACAGGCCAGAGGTGCTGGGGGGTGGTGGTGAGTGGATTCACCAGAGACTGAGTGGGGAGCAGAACAGGCAGAACCACTGAAATCCACTGCCCCGGGAAGGCTTCGTCTTACACACTGTTTCTCATGGCTCATGTATTTCTCTGCCCTCAAACCTGCGAGGCTGAGAAAGAAGGAAGCTGTTGGTTTCCAGAAGTCCCTCCACTTTTTGCCTGGGCCTGGGTAACCTTGTGCTTTTCGCCTCAGTCTGTTCTGATGGTTATAACAAAAATACCTTGGAGAGGATGACTTAACAACCATCATTTATTCCTCACATTTCTGGAGACTGATTCCCCAGATCAAGGGCCCAGCCAATTTTATGCCATAGATGGTGTCTTCTTGCCAAGTGTCCTTAAACGGCAGAGGGTGATGTGACCTCCAAGGCCCCCCGACTCCGAATACCATCATCTTGGAGGCTTGGACTTAACTTACAACTTTTGGGGGCTCAAGACATTGGTTTCTGATACCATTGGTGTTGTTCCCATGGAGGAGGGCTGGGCGGAGAGGGAAAGAGATTGGGGGACTTCAGTTAGTGTCTTGACTTCCGAGCGTGGGTGACTCCTGTAGCCCAGCTCTTCCCACCATTCACCCAGGGGCTGGTGAAGCAGGATGTTATTTGCCTTCCCCATGCCCCTCAAGCCCCTACCTGGGGTGCTCTTGGGTGCAACTTTCCCCAGGCTCCATGTTTCTAAAGGCACCAAGCCTCGGATCCTCACTTCTCAGATAACCCTGGTTTCCACATTGCAGAATGTAAACAGGGGATTGCAGGAATCCATGTCAAGTGCTTGTCCAGAGCTGGGCATGTACCCAGTGCTCAATGGCTGTTGACACAGCCGTCCTGGGATCCTGGCTGGGTCCTTTGGCTGACTTCTGGGTATGGCTGTGCGGCGGGATGGGGGTCAGGGATGTGAAGGACCTGAGGGCCCAAGTTCCAGAGATTGTGAAATAGTCCAGGGAGGTGTTTTTGAGCTTCTGCAGCCAGTGCCCTCAATGGGCAAGGGGCCCCAGTGGGTTGGTGTCCGCGTAGTGCTGACTAACTTTGTGAATGTCAGCACAGGAAGGGACTGGAAACACCATGTCACCTAGAACCCCCACCCCTTATTAACAGGTGACAAAACTGAGGCACACGGGGTGAGAGGACTTCTCTGAGGTCACTTGGCTCTCTCGTGCAGACCTAGGACTGAATCTGATTCCTGTGTGCTTTCTGCTATAGCTGGTCCCCTCTCTCAATACTGAGGTGCAAAGGAACACGGAGCCCCCAGAGACCATGGGATGCTTGCCGTGGTCTCAAGGGTGCTCCACCTTGTCCTTGTCCTTTAGCGGAAGCTAAAGCCATAGGGCAGGCTCCGGTCAGTGATCTGGCATCATGCCCATGCCATTCATAAAAGTTACCCAGGAACTCTTCTTCTAGTTTTTTAAATTCAGCATCCATTTACGATGGAAATGTCTATTTATTTATTTATGCATAGGAGAACTGGGGTACAGGTCAGAGGTATGGGTTGTGTGTGAAAGGATTCACTGGAGACAGAGTGGGGAGCAGAACAGGCAGATGGACTGAAATACATTGCTGAGGGAGCAGCGGGTGGGATAGGAGAGGTCTGCTGGGCCCTGTAAATCAGCTTCCTGGCCGGGGATCGAACTCAATGGTGATGGCACTGAGGCTTAGCCCTAGGCCTCCAGGGAGGCCCCCTTCCCCCAGGAACTATTGACAGAACCTCTGATTCCAAGAACTAACAGCCGGTCGCATCTTTAGTCCCGTGTAACATCCCTGCGAAGATGGGGCTGGTACTGCCGTCATGTTACAGCTCGGGGGTTTGGGTGACTCACCTTAGGAACCAGTTGGCCAGGAAGTGGCAAAGCTGAGATGGCCTCAGCCAGCTCCTCCTGTGCTCTTAGCCCGTCTGTGCCTCTCTGTGCTCCTTCCGGGCACCTTTGCCCTAAGGCCTGAGGGGGCTAGGAGTAGAGAGGGAGCAAGACACGCAGTCCCTGCCCTCATGGATGGTACACCCCAGCCAGCACCTTAACACGGCAGCTCCCCAGCTGTTTGATTCTGACCTACAAAAAGAAATACATGGTCTATTGCTATTTATTAGTTGTATTAACACCTCTCCCCAATATGTATTTCCAAAAGAATATTTACTTTTTCTATTTATGCACATTGATGCTTTCTACTCTATTCTATTGACTTTAATAATGAAGTGACTGAGATCCCAAATGGATTTTGGGCCTCACAAGTGGATTGCTTGCATAGTTTGAAAAGGCCTATGGCTGTTCCGGGCCACTTCTTAGCTTCCAGACATTGAACAGGCACCCACCCACCCGACCTCTTGAGGCCTCAGCTGCCCAATGGGTCTTGCAAGAGGTCTTCTCGGGGCCCTCCCTTGTGGTGTAGCAGGTTAAAGCACAGCACTAAGAAGCTACAGCCAGTTCTGCATGAGTTCGATCCCCGCCCGCCCAGGAGGTGACCACATGGCGCCGCAGACTTCTCCTGACCCGCCTGCTGCTCCCCTCAGCAGTGTACTTTGTCAATCTGCCTGTTCTGCTCCCCACTCTGTCTCTGGTGAATCCTCTCACCGCCCCTGCACCTCTGGCCTGTACCCCAGCTCTGTATGCATACATAAATAAATCTTAAAAAAAAAAAAAAGAGGTCTTCTCGGGAAGGATGGTGCCAGCTCCTTCATGCTGGTTTAACTCCAAGTGCTGGGTGAGCTCCAGACTTCTGGGAGGGGGGAGGGCCTGCAGGCGCCGGAGCCCCGCAGCTCTGATCACAGATTTGCCCTTGGTCTCCTGTCTTATAGGTCCTGCCTCTAGGCTCAGCCCGCTGCGACCTGAAGGAGAATCTACTGAAGGAGAAGTGTGCCCTGGAGTCCATCGAGTTCCCGGTCAGTGAGGCCAGGATCCTAGAGGCCAGGCCTCTGAGCGACAAGGGCTCTGGAGACGGCTCCCAGGTTGTTCAAGTCAGTCCCCAGAGGATTGCTCTACGGTTACGGCCAGGTAGGGCTATGGGCGGATGGCGCCAGGCACAGGGGTGGTCGGGGCAGGAAACTTGAGCAGGAAGCAGCCCCGAACAGAAATGGGGTTGGAGAGAAGGATGCGGGGGAGTTCTGTGCAGAATGCAAGAACATGGACAGTGTTGGGGCTTTGACTCGCATTTGAGTTTGAGTCTCGACTTCCATATATTGGCTGTTTGACCGGGAGTAAGTTCCTTAACACTCCTAACATAGTAGGTCTTCAAAAATGTTTTCTTTTTCTCCCAAAGTCTGTTTTATATAAAGCTAGTAAGTTTTGTTTTGAGGTAGAAATGAGATGTGAGATGGGACAACGATTGTAAGTTCTCCTTTGCATGTGAAATGGGCACGGGGCAGAGAAAATAGGCTGAGATCATTAAAAGAGGCAGAATAAACTAAGAGAGACAGGCTTCTTGAAGCATTGACTTGGACTTTCCAATTTAATCAAGAAGAACTTGAGAAACTATTTTCTTTGTGCAAAGCATGTGTTAGCCGTGTGGACACACAACAGCCCCCCCTTATCCACAGTGGGTGCGTGCTAGTGCCCTAGCAGATGCCTGAAACAGAACATACTGAACGATGTGTAAATATACACATGTGTGTATGTATATATGTACACACATATATGCATAAAAATGCAGTTTATACACTTGTATATATTTTCTATATGTTTAATACATGTATATATGTATTAAAATACAGTTTATATACATGTGTGTATAAACTGTATATGTGTGTATATGTATAGATAAACTTACACACACGTATATAAACTGTATATTTTTCCCATTACACACTATGTCCTTTCTTAATGTGATTAATTGGTTATTGGAAACTGAGATTTTAAATGAAACAACATAAAAGGAAACCAAATTTTACTAATGGCAATTTCATGTAAAAAGAGTTATGTTCAAAAAAAAAAATTAAAGAAAAGAGTTATCTTCTTGGCCCTCCCTGGTGGCGCAGTGGGTTAAAGCACAGCACTAAGAAGCTAAAGCCACTTCTGCATGAGTTCAATCCCCGCATGCCCCGGAGGTGACCCACATGGCGAGGCAGACCTCTCCTGGCCCGCCCGCTGCTCCCCTCAGCAGTGTACTTTGTCAGTCAGCCTGTTCTGCTCCTCACTCTGTCTCTGGTGGCTCCTCCCACCCTCTGCATCTCTGGCCTGTACCCCAGCAGTTCTATATGAATAAATAAATAAATCTTTAAAAAAAAAGTTATGTTCTTAAGGCATATTTCGGATCATGAAAATATAACCAAATTTCTAAAATAAAACCCCAAACACTTCTAATATTAAACAATCATTTGCATTCACTCACCCATTCATTCTCCAATCCCCTTATTCTAGGTCGGCACTGCAGGTGGCTGGAGCTTGCTCTGGTGGCAGATGAGGGCACAAGGCACGACCCTGGCCAGGATGCCCTCCCACCCCAGGGCGCACTCACACCCCCATCCCACACTTACCCAGATGGGGAAAATGGGAGACACACTGATGAATCTAACGTGCACATCTTTGAGATGTAGGGGGAAACCTGAGCGCCCAGAGAAAACCCAGGCAGACATGGGAGAGCTTATGAACTCTGGGCAGAGACCCTAGGCAGGAGTGAGATATTTTTTCTCATCAAAGAAATTATGAAATGATATTGATAGAAATGACATTTTCCGAGGACCTGCTATGTATCCACACCCATGATAAAGTTTAGTTTAGAAAGTAAGCACAGTAAGACATTAACAACGAGAACTAGTCACAAGGTAGAGCCCTCATAACATTTGCCGTAATAAAAGTACGTGTGTTCTCCCTCACAGTATGGCATCGTATGGTGGGTAGCTGAAGCTGAAACAAAAGCACTGATCGGGGAAGGCTCCTGCCTTTTACAGGGTTTGAAGCATAGAAAGTGTCCAAGCCTCTGTGACTCAGGGCAGTAGGTCCTTGGGACTTACAGCTTTAGACAGCTGGGCATTTGGAGAGGATGGAGAGTTTTAGCCTGGAAAAGAAGAGGTTAAAAATGGGGGGGGAGGGATCCAAGAGATTGAAGAGAAGTAGAACTGCGGTGGTGGTGGGGTGGGGGGGAGAGACCGGGGCTTTGACTTTCGATCTGATCAAGAATTTACTTAAATCCCAATGATGTCCAAGCCCACTTGGAAGGAGAAAGAGGAGGAACAGAGCACTCACATTCTTCTGCCTTCTAGATGATTCGAAGAGTTTCTCCGTCCAAGTCCGGCAGGTGGAGGACTACCCTGTGGATATCTACTACTTGATGGACCTGTCTTACTCCATGAAAGACGACCTGTCCAGCATCCAGAACTTGGGTACTAAGCTGGCTTCCCAGATGCGCAAGCTCACCAGTAACCTAAGGATTGGCTTCGGGGCCTTCGTGGACAAGCCTGTATCTCCATACATGTACATCTCCCCACCAGCTGCACTCAAAAATCCCTGCTATGAGTAAGTCCCTTCTCTGGAAGCTGGAGTAACACCCTACACTGCACTCCAGACAGGGCCACATCCCCATTCCTGTTTCCAGTTCTTGGATATCTTTATTGAATGCCTTCTGGCTAAATCACTTTTCCTCCTGGGCTTGATTTTCCTGTCTGGCACAGAAGCTGGCCTGTTGGTGTGAAGTTTGTGTTGATGGAATCCAAGGCTAAAAGACCTAGAAAGAAAATCCATCAGCATCTTGGTCTTGGTGACAAGTAAATAGGGAACGAACAAGAATGGAGGAAATGATATCAAAAGTAAAGATAAGCTTATGGATAAGTAGATAGAGGAGTTATGGCTTCAGAAGGATTAACTCCATTGTGATTCTCCTCCTCTTCAAATGTATGAGTTTTACAGGGTCAAAATGCAGCAGGTGAAGTCCTAGAGACATATACAAAATGGAAATTGTATTTATCGAGCCTTTTAATCATTTGTAAATTGATAAAAATGTGCCTCTGTCGACACTGGGGTTATCGTTGATTAAATGACTTGTGTAATTTGGTGGAGGCCCAGCAAATCCGTGGGCTTTCATCATTTAAAATGATGGTGACTGAGCCATCCTGGCATCAGACTTTTTCGTTCTGAGTTAGATGATGTGACTTTGAGCCCCTTGTCTGTCCGGTTCTGTGTTTCCCCTGTTCACTGGCAGTCATCTGTGTAACTAACAGATAAATTAGGCTGGGGCCAGACACAGTCCTGGCTGGCACAGGGGACATTTAGTCACCCATTGGCAGCTGCCACATGTTTGTGCTAGTGTTGAGCATAGGTGATAACAATTCCTCGGATGGAAGTGCTTTATGTTTCTCAACTCACGGAAGCCTCACAGCATCTCTGATGAGTGACATGCTGTCAGTTTTCCTGTTGCAGCTGAGCTGCAGAACATCTTGCCTGAGACTCCATGACTCGTTAATGGAGGAACTGGGATTCTCGTGTGTGTGTGTGTGAGATGTTTATTTTTCTAACAAAACTTATAATACTTATAGCAAGGCATTTCATTAATGCATCCTTCTGTTTAAAAGTGAGTATTCATCAGAAATGTTGTGCTTTTTATTTCTTTTTAATATTTTAAATTTAGATTTATTTATCTTCTTACATTGTTGTCATCTCTGCAGTGTTTAATTCTCCCCTGGGGGTGATCCCTGGAGTCCTCCCCTGACCACAGCACCTGAGCTCCACCCCCACAGTCCCTTGTGCTCACCTCACCCTTCTCCCCTGTGTGCCTCAAGTCTATGGTTTACAAGTTTTCTTTTTCCCCTGTCCCTCTGGCTTCCCAGAAGTGAAACCGTCAGATATTTGTCTTTTCCTTCTGGCTCGTTTTGCTTAGCGTCAGCCCTCAGGAGCGGGGATTTGAACCCAGGCAGTCTGGCTCCACATCATTTAGGCTAGCTGCCAGTGAGGCCATGTGAAGCCTAGGGTTGGGGGGCTCTCAACGCCTGGTGATACAATGGAGCTGGTCTGGGCTACCACAGTCGGCCTCGACCCTCTCCCACCCCCCGCCCCACACAGTCTTTTCCATCATGGTGTCTCCCTGCCTCCCCAGTATGAAGACCACCTGTTTGCCCATGTTTGGCTATAAACATGTGCTGACGCTAACGGACCAGGTGACCCGTTTCAATGAGGAAGTGAAGAAGCAGAGTGTGTCCCGGAACCGAGATGCCCCAGAGGGTGGCTTTGATGCCATCATGCAGGCTACAGTCTGTGACGTGAGTTGGGAGGGCTCGGAGTGCCAGGGGTGGTTCTCACAGGTCAAACGGAGAAGGAAGTGGCTCAGCTGTGCAGATGCCTGGCGGTGAGAGGTTGGAACACGGCAGCGCTCCTACAGTTTGGGCCATTAATTGCTCCTCATACACAATTGGTTTCCATTTCCTGGCTAGAGCTGACATTTGCTTGAACCTCAGAGCCCCCCCACCCCCCACGGGGAGGGCTCTCCAGCTCCTCTGGAAGTGGATCAGAGCCACAGCTGGGTTCTCGCGACAGCCAAGTGCACAGCTGTTCAGACGGGATTTCTTCTAGCCCAGCTCTGCGGATGCAGGTGGATTTCTAGCTGGGTCATGTGATCATAAAAAAGTTTTATTATATAAAAAAATTATATTTGAAGTTGAAAAGGTGTTTCAGCTATGAGACTGATTTCCTAAGTGAACAAAAACCCCCAGCCCCAAGATGGAAAGCGCCAGGTGGTGCTCCAAGGGTTGGGGTGAAGGCCTGTCTCGAGATCACCTGCCCCCTGGCAGGGTGTCCCTGCGTCCTTGCTTTCGACCAGCACCTACAGAGGACTACACTGCTTTCTCTCTTTTGCCCTTTATGTTTTTTTTTATACAGGAGAAGATTGGCTGGCGGAGTGACGCCTCCCACCTGCTGGTGTTCACCACTGATGCCAAGACTCACATAGCACTGGACGGCAGGCTGGCGGGCATCGTCAGGCCCAACGATGGGCAGTGCCACGTTGGCCGTGACAATCACTACTCTGCCTCCACGACCATGGTGAGCTTCCGCTACGGCTGTGGCTCCTCTCCCGCGGCCAGCGCAGCCCTGACCCTGGTAGAGTCTCCGTGTGAATATGACAATGGCGGCCCCCATTGTGGGGCTTGTTTCCCCCTGTTCCCGCCCCAACCGACTGGAAATGCTCCTGCAGGACACAGCCTGCACAGCCATTAGAGCATTAGAGATGGCCCTGGCCGTGGTCAGTGTCCACTACTTTCACAGCCCCCAGCAGCAGCAGCAGCTGCCTGGCTTCCAGAAGGACCCACTGCATGTTCACAGACCCAGCTGGAACAGAAAAGCTAGTCTTTCTGTTTACTCTGCACTGACGAGCCCTTTCTTGGAACTCCATGTCTTTATTGGAAGAAAATAGAGGAAAAAGATCAAAAGTCCTCGCAAGCATGGAGAGCAGGTCACATGGGGAAAGTTCAAAGCGCTCAGCCACTGCACATGAAGGGAGGAGGCAGAGGATGAATTAATGATGCACGAGAAGGTTTCTTATGTCTTCTATGACTGTAAATGGTTACATAAGGGAAAGAAGCTGCGAAGAAAACAGAAGAAATTGTCATGAGCAGTAAAGAAAATGTACAGACTCTTAGAATGCTGATACTCTGGGTATCTTGGGGGGAAGTGAGAATTCTTTTTTTTTTTTTTTTTTCATTATAGCTATGGACTGTGGAAGGCAATGACTTTTAAAGATATTACTTGTT